GTGGACCGTGGCATCACAGAATGGGTTGGGTTGGGAAGGACCTCAGGGATGACCCCGTTCCTCAGCTCCTGTTCCATGACCCAGGGCTACAGGTGGTAGGAATGGGCTCACTGCACTGCACAGCGCCCAAGCAGAGCTGGGGCTGCGCACAAACTGCCTGGAGAGGTGTGTGCCCCAAGGGCAGTGCTGTGCTTTGCCTGCACCCCAGCACATCCGTGGTTATCGTTCAAATGAAGAGTGCTCCAGCCATGGCAGAGATTGAGCCTTTTCCTACAGGTGTGTGTGTGCGCATCTGTCAAAGAAAATAAAAAATAAAAGCAGTTTGGGATACCTGGCATTGAGCGGAGTGGTTTTCCTAACTTCTCTGCCCAGGGACTGCCTGGATGCAGCTCCTCAGGTGGGTCCTCCCCTCCATGGGCCTGGGAGCTGCCCCACTGCCCCTCCCGGCCCCACGGACTGGCTCTTATTTCAGCATTGACCTGGTAAGGATAAAATCTCTGCCCAGAAACATTACCTTTCCTAAAACAAAAACTCTCTCGATTTTGGCTGCAGGAGCCACAGGTTACGTCAGGAATGAGACGCACGTGGTGCACGGACGTCACTCTTACGTACAGCCTTACGCTGCTTTACCCCACACTGCTCAGGGGAAATACCTCCTACAAGCACAGCTCTGCTCCTTGGGGGCACAACTGGTTTCCTCCATCACACCTCAGGTTCCTCAGCCTGGGCACCAGTAACTGCTGGGGCTGAACGGGTGCAGGGGGAGATCCACTGCAGCCCCCAGTCACAGAGCCACAGAACAGCTTGAGTTAAAAGGGACCTCAAAAGACCAACCCGATTGGTGCAAGGTGACAGGGCAGCAGGAGCCACAGCACCCAACCACAGGACACCCCACTGGGATAAACAAAACCCTGAGAATGCTGCAAACTGTTCCATCCCACACTGCAGCTCCTGGGCACAGCAGCGTCTGTCTCTGGAAGACAGCCTGATGCAGTACCTGGAAATGCAGGGATGCCATCAGTCGAGAGCTGCTCTGTCCTTTGCTCCTGTGTCCCTGGGACAGATGCCTGCAGAAAGCACCGCTGTAGGCTCCTTCTTCCACTCTTGGAGGTGGGGACACTGAGGCACCTGAATGGGGAGAAGGACATTCCTCCAGGAGGCTGCCTAAGTGGCAAAAATAGAAGAGCTGCAGGAAAGCAAAGGGCTTCAAAGGGCTTCTCATGTCACATGAGTTTAGTGGGAGCTGAACCCACCAACACAAATCCAGCAGCCCGAGGTCAGTGCGGGGCCTGCGTGGAGACAGACAGCGAAGAGCAGGAAATCAGAAAGCGCTGCTCCAAAAAGAGCAGGGAAGGTCATAGGAAAGGACATGGGCAACGACCTGAGTCAGCATCCCAGTGCTGCCACAGCTTTCCATTCTGTCCTCTGCTTCTTAATCATCTGTTATTTGAGGGCGAGTTTTGTTTTATTAGGGGAAAAAGAAGTCTTTTATCGGGGTGATTTGCTCTGAGGCGTGTCAGAGACAGGGGAGGAATCCAAGTTAATCATTGCTGTCTTGCTTCCAGCTGTATTGAGCTGGAAGTGGATGCGGGCAGAAGTCCCAGGGCAGGGGGTGAGGATGGGGCTGCAGAACGCAGTGGGGCTCAGGCCTGCAGCAGGAGCACAGCAGGGCCAGGGCAGGGCTAGGACAGCGCTCTGCAGGGGTGCAGCCACGCTGAATCTCCCACCAGGAGCACCCGGATTCAGGGGAAGATCCACACAACCAGTGAGGAAAACGCGGTGCTGAGCATTACCAGCTCAAGGGCTCAACCTGCCCAGCTCTGACGGTGACCCCAGCGGGTGCTCACCCACCGGCCCTGCAGGAGACGTCACTGTCACGGTTATCAGTAGAGGGAAAGGAGAAAGGGTGTGGGCTGGCCCAGGAGCCATAAGGCACACAGCATTCCTCAGAAAGCCCTTGGGCAAACACAGCCGCTGAGCACCAACCTCCTTCCTCCTTGGCTCCTGTTTACAGATCCGCTTGGCCCAGCCTGGATGCTGTTAGTGCTAAGCGCACAGATAACGCCAATAAGCAGCTTGTTGATAGCAGAGGGGCAAACATCACTGATAGCATTCAGCTGCTTGCCCTCAGCTTCCCAGTAAAGGCAGCTGCTCCCACACAGTGATTGGAACTGCCTGGGACTGACCCAGTCAGCTCAACTCATCCTTTCCCATTCCGCCCCGCTCGTGCTTACTTAACAATTGCATCTCTTGTTAAACTTGGCTCAATACATCTAATTGAAACACCTGCCATTCTGAGAATCGCAGAATCATTCGGGTTGGAGGAGCCCTCCGAGGCCACCCAGCCCACCACCCCCACATCCCTGGTGCCACATCCCCGCAGGCTCAGCACCCCCAGGGCACTCCCCCCCCTCCCTGTGCCACTGCATTGCCACTCTTTCCAAGCAGCATTTCCTAACAGCCGAGCTGAACCTCCCCCAGCACAGCTTGAGCCACTGCCTCTCTCTGCCCCTGTGACGGCTCAGCGTGGAGCTGTGATCAGACCTACAGCCCTGACTCTAACCTGGGCTCCAAAGCCAGAAGACACGCTAGGCTTTGAAGTGCAGCTCCTCTTTGTAGCCCTGACGCACAGCCCCGTTGGAGAAAACCGCAGGGACACTCCCAGCCCTGGTGTTTTCCTTCAGGCCCTTCTTTAATGGAAGAACCTCTGATTTCACCCAGTCTTCCTCACCCCAGGATACAGACTCCTGGCTTCCATTTCCCAGCTCAGTTTAATTTAGGCTGATGAGTACTGAAAAACAGCCAGATTTGCAAATGCCCCACACGCGAGTCATCGGCTTTGCTCAACAGAGAGCCCAGCAAATAGCTCTTGGGAGATCCCTGTTCGCTACAGAGCCCCCAGCTGGGGTCACAAAAGCAGCCAGCAGCCCAGGACAGCCCGATGGTGCTCAGGGAGCGGCGGAGCAGCGCTTCCTTGCTCCTCCCAGCGGGATGGAGCTGCTGATGCTTTGGGGCATCTCCCCGTGGGGAGTCCCAAAATCCTCTCAGATGACAGCATCCCAGCTCTGCCCCACGAGCCGAGGGTTGGGTTGGACATTAAACACCACCGCTTTACCAGCACAGCTGAGGCACAGCTGACGGCTGCTCCGTCACCTGTGGGCGTTCTCACCTAGAAGAAGTGGGCCCCTTTTGCTCTTGTTTTCCATCCCTTTCGTCACATCCCGACGCACGATAACCCGTGCTCCCCCACCCACTCCACCCGCTGTTGGGTTCTTGGAAGCTTTTCCCAGCTCTCGCCTCCCAGCTCACATGTTTGGCAGCTGCAGGAAGCAAGGTGCTGCTGGGGGCTCATCCCGGGACACAGACAGCCCCTCCTCACATCAGGCCAGGCTCACTCAGAAATGTCAATCTGCTGTTTTGAGCCGCACAACCAGAGCAATCAGCTCACCACAAATCCCAACCAGAAATCAATGCGACATGAGAGGGAACAGTGACAGCACAGCTCGGACCCAGAGCATTCCCAACGCATGGCTGAGCCCAGGGGGTTTGCACATGAGCATCTGGAATCAACATTTACAGCTCAGAGCCATCCCCCAAAGCAGCCACCTCTCTGCCAAAAATCCTCAAGTTGATGCAGTCCCCACACTTTGGCTGGACCACAAACTTTGTCTTTTGGAGCAGTTGGGGTACCTGTGCCATGGGTAAACACACAAAGAAGTGGTACACCAGAGATAAACCTTCAGAACTACCTGGAAACAAAGGAGCGGGGACCACGAGTGGATGTTAGCCAAAGTTAAGTGCTCCCATCTCTGTAGCCCAGAACAAGCTCACATCACAAGATTAGCCTTGAATTTGCTGAAGCCATGGCACGAATTAGTCACAGTGGCTTGTGGTTTTACCAGTTGGCACATCCTGTGCCAAGGCTGCTGGCATGGGGCAACTCAGCAGGTGCATAAAGGAGCCGTTTCCCATTGGCTGCCCTTGTCAGAGACGAGAGCGTCTTGCTGACTAATTAATGTAATGACAATAATAGACCCAAAGTAAACAAGGTGGAAAAAGAAAATCAATGGTCTCGGAGCAGAGGCCGCACTGAGCGGGGAGCAGCGCTGCCGGCACCTCAGCCCGGCAGGAGAGGCACAGAGCATCGCAGCAGCACGGCTGGAGGTAAGGACAGCCGGCTGCTCACAGCGGCACACGGGTCAGGGCACGGGGCCTCAGCGAGCAGCTGCTGTGCACAGCGCCGCCCGGGCACTGGGACCTCCGCGGTGCGCTTCCTTCTGGTTCTCCTGCCCCTAAAGCAGGGTAGGAGAGGGGAGAGCCATTGCTTCTGTGCTAGTGTGAGAGCTAAACAGGAGGAGAGCCTGGGCGGCAAAGAGGGAAGGGTTTAGGGTCCATCTCCGTTAGAAGTGCACTGAACCCTGCGGACCAAAGGCAAACAGCATCTCGGTGTGTGTGTGAAAGAAGTGAGAAACATTTAAAGGGAAATTTAAAGAAGAGGGAAATTTAAATCCCTTCTCAGACAGCTTCTGCATCAAAGCCCCATGACAACTGTACACAGTTCCCACCCCAACGCATCCCCAGTGCTTTCAGCACAGCTGCAGCCCCAAGCAAAAGCAGCTCCCATACCCTGACCCCATGGGGAAGCAGCTCTGCCCCACCGCTGCTCACAGCCAGAGATCGCTCTGCCATGGGCAAATCTGGCGAGGTCTTTCCCAGCACTGCACAGAACAGCTTCCAGGCTGTGGCCATTTATCTGAGCCAGCCCCTCAAAATGCTCTGGATCAGCTCATGGCTCTGTGCTTTTCGCTCTGTGCTTCAAGGAGAAAAAGAAAGAAAACCAAACGTTAACTCTGCTCTATTCTCAGCCCCTGGGAAGCCAGGCTGGGTCTTTTCCTCGCAGCTTGGATAAACTTACAAATACTCTTTATTCCCCTCGTCAGCTCTGTCACGATTTCTGCAGCCATATAAGGAGCCTGTAAGCACAAGGAGGAGGTTGTCCCCACCAGTCAGAACCAAACAGCTCTGAATTCTAAAGTAGGTCTGAGTTTGCTCTTCATTCCCATCTATAACTCTTGGAGCAACAGAGAGGAGGAAACCTGAACGTGGGGCTGTGTGTGGAAGTGTGAAAGGTGAGGATGGGAAACTTGGCACCTCTGATCCCAGCAACTCCCAGTGCTGGTGGGGCAGTCATCAAATACCTCTTTTAACACCTGTGTTTATTGACATCTTTTGGCAATGTGACCTTCTTCCCACTACTCTACGACTCTGTCCCTCAAACCTGGGCTAAACCCTGATCTATTTTCCCCGCTCACTCAACTCTCTCTATAACCTTCCTTCCCCTTTAACCCCTCTCTCTGCAGGTGACACACAGGGAGCCCAGCCATGCCAGGCAACAAAGCCTCCAAGCAAAAGCCTTGCCACCACTGCAACAGCAGGTTGGCCTCAGCCCCTCCAGGCACCTCCACAATCCACTATGAGAAGTCGTGGCTGTACCGGCACTGCTCCCTGCAGCAGAGGGACAGACAGGCTCAGAAATCAGGGCAGCTGTTCTCAGGGCTGCTGGCCCTGAACGTAGTGTTTCTGGGCAGTGCTTTCATCAGCAGCATGATTTTCAACCATGTGGCCATCACGCTGGCGGACGTCTGGATCCTGCTGTCCATCCTCAAGGTCTTGTGCCTGTGCTGGATTATCTACTACCTGCTGGGCACCAGCCGGCAGCCGCACGCTGTGCTCTACCGGGACACCCATGCCGGGCCAGTGTGGATTAGGGGTAAACCCTGCTTTAGTTCATCATCCCATGCCTTTCCCTTTCTTCCCAGCTCTTGGAAAATACAGAAGTTCTTTCCTTGCCACTAAGAGCATGGAGCCACAGGAGATGGAGTCAGGGCTTTTCCAGGGCACAGCTTGAGCCACAGGGAGGAAGCAGAGCAGCCAGGAGAGCCCTGAACTCAGCTGTCCTCCATCCTCCTGAGCAACCCCACACTGCAGTCCCTTCTCAAAGCACAGCCTCAGCTCAGCATCCGAGCACAGCAGCCCTGCGCTGCTCTCCTTTCACAGAGCAGCATGGCGGGAGGTTTCTGCTCTCTGAGTCACATCCCAGAGTGACATTGGCTTCCCTGGGAGCTTTCTCACACTTTGCGGGATGCCACTTTTCTAAACAACGCTGCCTCTATTAGGAAGATTCTAACTAGTGCAAGCCTTCATAATTAAGTGTGGAGAAGTGAAGGGAAGAAAGCTGAAAGCTGCCTAAAGACCTTGTGCAGATAGTCAGAGAGAAAAGGGGGGAGCAGCAGAAGGGTCCCAACCTCTGCAGGGCGGTGCTGCAGAGCCCCAGCCTCACATTCTCCCCAGGGTATTCAGGAGGTAGAAACCAATCACCTGCCACCCTCTTACCTCCATCACTCCAGAGCGCACAGAAAAGGCTGAAAACTCCATTCCCACCTGCTGTCCAAGCATTCCCAGAGGAAATATCTTGTGCTGTCCCAGCACCTTAAGCCAGGCTCAGCAGCCAGGCTGCCCTTCCTCCCCTTGTCTCAAAATCAGGAGGCCTCCAATCAGACAGCAGCCCTGCTCAGAACCAGGAGTCCTCACTCCCCATCCACACTTGGATGCTCCACAAACTCATCTCTGTTTATTCACTTCTGCTTTTGCTGTTTGCCCAGGGTCGCTGCTGCTGTTTGGCACTTTCAGCATCCTCCTGAACGTCTTTCAGATCGGCTTCAGCGTCATTCAAATCAACTGCAAATCCAAAGTGGAAATCGTGTTCCCCAGCATTGAAATCCTGTTTGTTGCCACGCAGGTAATGCACATTCTCCCTTCCTAGCAGCTCACACATTCTCTGTTCTGTTGCTGGGGTGAGGGAAGTGAGGACGCTCAGGAAAGTGAGAGCAAGCGGGGTGTTCTCATAGGCATTGAAGTAGCAAATACCATTTCAAATGACACCACGTGCACACCTGATATACCAGATTGAGAGACAAAAACGATTTGGAAAGATGTCACCTGGTACTAAGTGACATACTGCAGGACCCAGGTGTTCGGTTTACAGCAACAAAATAGGGAAACCAAAGAGGAAACATCCCAGGAATATCTTTGCACCTGCCTCGCTGCACGCAAATACATCCCCAGCAAAACCCTTTGTGTTCAGGAGCATCTCACAGGCAGAATTCCCACCCTCCTTTGCCATGGGTGCAAGCACAGGCATGCTGGAGCCACGTGAGGATGGCAGCACTTGTTCCAGCACTGCCCAGGCACACACACAGCTCCTGCCAGGCGGCCACATGGCTCTGCACTGCCCATCCCTGCCCCCGCATGCAGCACTGCCAGCTGCACCCCTCACACTGTACTTGTCATTGATCTGCAGGCGTTTTTCTTATGGCATCACTCTAAGGACTGCATTCAAGTTCAGCACAACCTCACCAGGTATGAGAAGGGGGGGGGGGGGGGGGGAAAGAATCTTCCTGCTTCTCTAAAGAAGCTCTTTCTCTCTGCTTGTTATCCTCCTCATCTCTGCTAGACCCTCACCTGCCCTCACCCAGAGGGCACAAACAAGACCTGGGCTACGATCAGAGCAGACCCATCCTCCTTCCATCCACTCCAGCTCTCCCCTTCGGTTTGCACTCACACCCCCATCTGCTACAAAGCTCATTCCTCTCTCGTTCCCAAACACCGTCCCACTGCTCATGAAATGACTCCTCCATGGGGTTGGCTGCCCTGCTCCCATCACCGGGAGTCCCCCCACCTTCCTTCCCACAGCTGCATCCAGGCCCAAGCTGGTGTCACTAGCGAGCTTGCTCTGCTCCTCCACAAATGGGAAAGCCATACACTACTGCCCACGCACAGTGCAGAGCCAAAAGCACGACGTTTGTGCACATCCTTACACGTGAAAGCAAGGAGCAAAGGGCGGCACTGCAGTGCATGTGCTCACACAGTCCGGTCATAAACCATCACCACAGACAGGGCTATAAAAGCACCTTTCTGCTCTTCCAGATGCGGGCTGATGCTGACCATCGCCACCAACCTTCTGCTCTGGCTGCTGGCGGTGACCAATGACTCCATCCACATGGAGATCGAGTCTCAGCTGCGAGAGGTGGAGCAGCGCCTGGCAGGCAAGGCTCCTTTCCCCACATCCCTGCTCGTGTTCAGCTGACGCGGCGAGCACAGCAGCCCTCAGTCGCAGTGATTCAGACAGCACAAGCAGCTCCTCAGAATTCTGAGGCTCCCCCATTATCGGATGTTGACCATCTTCCTCCTAATAGCTGCCTTCCTCTCCTTACATCCAGGCAATGAGACGGACTCGTGTGCGTGCCCAAACACCACCACCTGCAAAGTCTTCCAGAAGGGATACATCCTGCTCTATCCCTTCAACACCGAGTACTGCCTCATCTGCTGCTCTGTGCTGTACGTCATGTGGAAGAACGTGGGGCGACGCATCAGCCACCACCACATTGCTCATGTCAAGCCCAAATTCAAGCTCCAGGGAGTGGTCTTCGGGCCACTGCTGGGTGCTGCCGCCGTAATCATTGGGATCTGCGTCTTCATGATGTACCAGATCCAGGCCACAGGCTCAGCTCCCAATTACCAGGTCTTCGTGTTGTATTATTCCTACTACATTGTGCTCCTGCCCCTGATGTGCGTGGTTGCAATTATTGGGACAATCATCCACACCTTGGAAAAAAGGGAGCTGGACACACTGAAGAACCCAACCCGCAGCCTGGATGTGGTGCTGCTGATGGGAGCAGCCCTCGGCCAGATTGCCATGTCCTACTTCTCCATTGTTGCCATTGTGGCCACCAACCCCAGGGACATGCTGAACAGCCTCATCCTGTCCCATTCCGTCCTCCTCATCTTTCAGTATATCACCCAAAACATCTTCATTATCGACGGGCTCCAACGGCAGCCATTCGTAGCAGCAGAGGCCCAGCACACAACACATGCTGGGCAGCTTTCCGCAGTCCCAGAGCTGCCTGGTGAAGGGGTGACAACACCGAGCAGTGATCAGGAGCACTCACAGACCTCTCCCAGCAAGGAGGAAGAAGTGAGCGAAGAGCACAGCCGTGAAGCCCACGAGCAGAGGCGAGTGAGCGTGCTGGAGCTCGGGCAGGAGTTCCGGAGAGTTTCCCTGTCCTACATCCACACCTACTCTCACCTGAGTTGGAAGAGGAAAGCATTAAAGGAGATCTCGTTCTTCTTGGTTCTTTGCAACATCATAGTAAGTACTGCTTTCTTTGCCACACCACAGCTTTGCTAACTTGCGATACCAAGACAGATGTGCATCTTTCTTTTGGGCCGCCATTGTGAACAGGAAAGTTTTGCCCACTAGGATTCCTCTTTCTAGGGAGTTGAGACAAGGCTGCTGCTTCATTAATGCTCCATTCCCAGAACTTCAGGCTCCCTCTTTTACCTCAAACATGGCAAGGCTTCCTGGGAATGGGAAGGAGGCAGCCAATACATCCTTAAAAGCCAGGGAGTTGTCAGATTCACTAATGGTGCTTCATGAAACAGCTGGGGAAACATGAGGTACCAGCAGTGAGCCCTCTTAATCAAGTCTCCAGCATTGGAACTCACCCAATAAAGCAAACTTCGGAATCTTCAATAAACATCAATTTTCACTGCAGCTTTAAGAAAGGGAAAGCAATTGGCCAAGTGAAATTGCGTGGAAAGACGAAGCTGCCTGGGGCAGAGTGAGCTTAGTGTTCGGGTCCCAAGAATTTAACAGCGTTAGACTTGTAGCAAGGAGTCAGCAGTGTAACTCTCCTCTTCTTCCCACACAATGAAACCCCTCCGCTGCTCTTGCGATATTCCTACAATTCCTTGCGCCAGCACTGAGATGACAGTGCAAGTTTGCCACCCCCTGACGTGTGCGATGTTGTTTTGTTTTCCTTGCCTCTTTAGCTGTGGATCATGCCCACGTTTGGGGCTCACCCCGTGTTTGAGAACGGGCTGCAGAAGTCATTTTACGGCTACTCCACCTGGTTTGCCATTGTGAACTTCGGCCTCCCACTGAGCGTCTTCTACCGCATGCACTCCGTCGGGGGGCTCCTGGAGGTGTACGTCTCAGCCTGAGCCAACGGAGGCTGCGGCGAGATGGGACTGGGCAAAGATGCAGTAAGCAGCTGCTATGCACGTGAAAGTTTTCAGCCTTTTCTCTCCAGCTTCTGTTTTGACTTTTCCTTGCACAACATCTCCATGAGCTTCCAAAGAAAAGGAGGTGGTTTTGTGTTGCTGCTTTTTTTCTCCATAGAGAACAGAATGAAAACTCATTAACAAGCTGCATTACTGCTGTACAGAAACATGCTGGTACTTCTCAGCACCTGCCAGTGGATGCTGTATGCTAAAAAGTGGGATTTTTATCTGGGAGATTTCAGTAGCAGCTGATAAAAGAATGCAAGAGCAGCAAGGGCTGACCTACACTGCATGTAAGTTCAAAATGCAGTGAAGGACCACCACAGCCTCACCACTGCCTGCCAACCACAGCACAGAAAGCTTGCACCCCGCAGCACAGAAAGGCCCTAGCAGCACCAGGCACTCCAGCAGCACACCCACACTCATTCACAAATGAACCAAATGTACACTTTGTACATGCAGCATCCAAATGGATCGTGATGCTGGTAGTCGCTGCGATGGCCAGCAGAGGTTAATTCTGTTTGCTCCCGGTGCTGACATCCAGCATACCAACTTGTGCTAATCTCGTAGGACTCTGCTGCCCTGCAACACCACACTCCTGCAGCTCTCAGTACTGAAGAGCAGGACAGGTCCGCAGGTTTGCACCATTTCAGTGCACTTTTTCCCACTACTGAAAATGGAAGCAATAACATTACTTTGCCTCGATGAAAATGAACACTATTTCCCCTTTCAGGCGCTCATGGTCTCAAGTAAGGAGTGCCACAGAAGTGCAATGGCTGATCTTTACTTGATGCTACTTACAATGCTCTCACCTCTGCACTAGCAAAGGTCCCATCCTCATGTGCAGAGCCAGTTCAAGAAAGACCCACTGCACCCACTGCCAAGCCTCCTCCACACCAACACTTATCCCCACAGCTGCTTTGCACATCCACAAGCATTTCACAAGGTCCACACAGAGGATTACAGTTACGTGGTGTCTGACCAACAGCTGTATGCACTCCACAGAAGATGCCTGCTTGAAAAGCACTTAGGAGAGCAACGGGGCTTAAATTCTGCAGGTCTTAAATACAGACTCTGATGAATGAAAATAAAGACAGATTGAGAACTTATGTGTGTCTGGTGAAATCTCTTCTCTGTTCTTCATTCACCAAAGAGCAGCCTCAAAAAAACAACAGAGCGTTCAGAGGTCAGACAAGATTTAAGGGCAGGCCCTTGTTTACAGTCAATCTATTTTTTTGCCATCGAGATCTTTCATAACCTTCACCCACAGCCAAAGTAGCAGTGCAAAATGCATCCACATTATTACTTCAGATTGCCTGTAAATCAGTCCCAGAAACAGTGTGGGTTTAGGATCAGAGCTATGGGCATTTTTGGCAACATTATTTTCACCCTACTCAAGAACTACAGAACTACAAACTCCTGCCCACATTATGCTGCCCTCCTGATAACTCAGCTTTCGGGCAGTGAAAAAACTCTCCGAAACTAAAAGTGAGAACGACCTCATGAGCATGAACTTTGCCCACTGACTTAGGCCTGTGTCAACAGAAATATGGCATGAGAAATAACAGCTGGATAAATTAGGCTCCAGTAAAGTTAATTATTATTCTCATTCCAATTTGTACCTACAGGAGATGCATGCCAAGGTCCGCCCCCTACAAATGACACAAAAAAAGTCTCAAACCCACTCCCTAGTTTTTGACAGCATGAGGACAAGGAATGATTTACTTCATGAGAAAACTCACAGCCTGGATTTTTTTTTTTTTTTAATGACACAATAGCTAAAACTCTGTTCAAGTTACTGAGCCTCCATCAAGCCCAGTGGCTTGGGAGGTTTCCCTCTGAGACATAATATTAAGTCCCATAACTGCTACAAACAGGCACAGACTGAAGAAGATGCTGGTGAACGGGACGAACTTCCTGAACACATGAAGAGCAATGAAGCCCCCCTCCAACTTGTACCAAAGGCCCCGTAGGTCAGACGGAGTGCTCTATGTCCTTTCCTAACAACACCCAGTTCTAGCACTGCAGATATAGGTAAGAAGCCTACAAGAGACAACAGCAAAAACCCTCGTCCAGGCCAAAGAGAAAATCCAAGGTTTCAGCCTTTCACTTCAGAGGGTGAAAGTTCAGGCTCTTCACAACTCACGCTCTGGTCTGCATTGTGTCTATTATCCAGGAGGGGGTAAAACCATGAATGCAAAGTTTGCAAACAGCCGCTGTAGCCATCATTTGTCATTTGTCAACTGCAAGCACCCTCCAGAGCTACCCCAGGCCCAGGGCACTGCCTTACAGGTCTCAGCAGCACAAAGATCCCAGCACACAGTTCACCAACTCAGGAACCTCCATCCTGTTCGATCCAGTTCCTTTTCTGTACCTTTCAAGGCTGTTACCTTTGGTGACGTCTCATGCTGTAAGCACAGAAATGGACGAAAGTGCACAGTTCAGGCTCATGTTTCACAGCCTGATCTTCACCTGTGAAGTAGAAATTCCATGCGCTGCAGAGGAAGCCAGCACGTGGTCCCATAGCAGCACAGCTACTCAAGCAACAGATAAGCAATGTTACAAACCTCTCTGTGGAAAAAAATAAGCCATATATTGCATGTTTCAGATAATCTTTATCTTTCACTTGTAATTAAGCAAATAGTTTACAGTGCAAGTTGATTTTCACAGAACAAAGATTAGATTCCAAACACCAACAAAAACAAAAAATGTTTCCAAAGGAACTCACAAAGAAATAAAGCAGAAAAGATGGAAGAAATCATAGGAGTCAGTAGATCCACAGGGGGAAGAGGCAAGCACATGGGACACAAGCTGTCCCGCTCTGGCTGTGAGGTGTGAGTGCCATACAGTCAGAGGCCATCCCCACCAAATCACATTCTTACATACGAGAGATTCCTACTGAAACAAAGATCTCACCCTGCTGATAGCCAAAGACTGCATCAGGATGAGTGTAGTGCTAAATAACAAAGCGGAGTGGAGATGGAACAGGGAAGAGGTGAGGAAATTAACCTCTATTTCTCGTATTTCTTATCCATCAGAAAAACCATCCAGGCTTTATTTCAGCTTTCAGCTGCCCTAGGACTGCAGGCTACTTTCAGTGTCAGAAGTGGAGAAAACCACCTGCCTACAGACCAGCAGGTGCTGGAGATGAAAGCCACGTTGCCGTCACTGTAACTCCAACACTTAGGGAAGGGCTACCAGGAACAAGACTGCACACCCTCCCTTACACAGGAGCGTAACACCAGTTTCCACAGAGTGATCTCGCTTGTCTGTCATAGCTTAGAACAGCTGATGGCCCAGTGACACCCAAGGCTAGTGCACTAGTGCAGCACGGATTAAGCTTTGGTGAAGAGCTCATGACAGGGCCTTTGGCATTGCCTTGTCTAAAGACCTCACAGGCCTAAGGCAGCAGCCCCTCTCCACAGAGCATACAGTTTGATGACTCCACCTACCAACGTGCAACTACAAGCTGCTGAACCATGCCAACAACAGCCAGTCTTCCACTGCTTCCTGCTCTGCCTTCCCAGACTTTCAAGACCTCATGTCTTGGTCACTAGCAAAATGCCCAGAATATCAAATTTTGCCTCAGCACTCACTCTCCACTCCCCAGTGATATGGAGATGCTTTTCCTTCTACAGCTTCCAAATTCCTCCCACAACTTCCCTGAGAGCCATCCTCAATTTCTGGCTTCAGACAGTAGTGTGCAAAAGACCCCTCTGCTCCACAAGCAGAGTCAGAAGGATACAGTTCCTCTCAAACCCAGGTGACAGCGTCCCTTCAGTCAGCTGGTGAAGTCCAATAGAGGCTAACCATCTCTTCTCCTTGTCGCCGCTGAGCCGGTCCATTCCCTCCTGTATGCTTATGGGAATCAAATCCAAAGTGACACACACACACACCACTGCAACACTCGACCATGAAGGACAGGTTGCTGGGCCTGGAAGCCAAAGAACACCTACCAGACCAGAGTGCCACCTACTAAAGGACCTCTTCAAGCAGCTTTCCAGGAAAGAAGTAGAGAGATTCAGAGCTGAGACAATTTTCTTCCTTCAGTAACTTCCTCTTTCATTTGGATTGGAAAGATTTCCCTACCAATATACAACTGCAACATCAGGGAGACACCTGCAGTCACAAGGTGTGCCCCAGAAACACTGTGGAGCCACTTGAAAGTAACTACCATTTCCAAACCCCATTGCCTGCAGGAATAGCAGCTTCTCCCTTGCACCCAACTTACAGTTAGTCTTTTCAATTAAATGCTGACACTGACCAGGGCAAGGACAAGGTCAAAACAGTTTCCAAACCAAATCCAGGAGCAAAATAATAACAGAAGAGCTAAGAACAGTCTGACTTCTAGTGCAACCACAACAATGGACAATCCCTTAGACATCTTTCACCCGGGGTTCAAGGTGAAGGGTAAAGGAAGAGAAGTGAGCTGGGGGAGGGATGTCCACACAGGCCCCAATTAAAGCTTTAAATGACAGGGAGGTAAATGGAGTGATTGTCCTTTTGGTCTCCCATCTGGATGTGAAATGCAGGAACAGCTGTGATGAAGCAGCACACAGCAAGGTCTTTAGATCCAGTGTATTTCTCTTAGTAGAGGTAAGTGCTCTCTTAGACTCGCTGAATTTCAAACAGCTTCACATCTGTGTCATACCAGATAGGGGGATCCACGTTCCTAGGAGAGAAAGACAAGATCTACTTTACTCTCTGTGGCTGGGTACATGGAATTCAAATCTTGCAGCCAGGATTACAGGAGCTGGCTACACAGAATGCCTTCAGCTTTGCAAAAAAGAATATCACTGACTGAGACAGCGGCCCTTAAATGGATGACAATATCTATAAGATTCCACAAAGGCAGAGCTTTGCATTAAATCGTCACACCATCCCCTCTAAGTTGCAGCAGGGAATAGAAAATCCACAAAACCCCGATCAAGCATTACTCCCAGACCAACTTCCTTCACATCTCCCACTCAACTTCTGGACCTAATTCACCCTATTCTTTGCTAGAGGAAAAGCATCTTTCTGTCCTCTAAACAAGAGATAATCTTGAGCTGGCCAAGTGCCTGCAATTCCCTCTAGAAAGCCTGGAGAAGATCAAGTCAGACTGCATCCAGATGGCATACCTCAAATAAATCACACCCCACATGTAGGTCCGGAACCACATGGCAGTGCCTGAGTTAGCCTGATACTTGCGAATGAGGATGGGGTGAGGGACTGGCAGCAGCCCCACCAGCGTGCCATGCTGCAAGAACTTGAGGATCTCTGACTCATCTGTGAGACCCCTGTAAACAGACAGAACAGGAATATAACTGGCACGTCCCACAGAAGCCACAGAACTGCTGCAGCACGAAGTATCAGTCTAAAGAAACACACACTGTCAGACCATGGCTATCAAAAACAAACATCCTCTCCACTGACTAAGGAGCTGAGAATGCATCAGAGAAACAAGAAGTCTGACAAACAAATTAACACCTCGGCCAACGCTGCAAGGCTTTCAATTATACTTTACAAGGAAAGTACTTACTTGTCAATGCAGATCTTCTCCACCTGAGGGACCAGTACCTGTAGCAGCCGCATGATGGTCTGCAGAGGAAGCTTTGACTTCCAAGACATCACCTGTGAGCAGCAAAGCCCACAGAGAAATCAGTGCACTGCATGAGTAGTTTTCCTAATGTACCTCCACTGTTTCTACAACAAATTATGTTTACAAAAATCCTAAAGGTGATGGATGAGCTGAGCATAAATCCTGGAGCAATAGAATTCAGAGCCGCTCAGTGAAACTACTGGGGCGTCGGTTTAACAGATAAAACAAAATACTTCTTTGCAGCTGATCATACACTTCTGAAGCTTTGACCAAAAGTTGAAGACCCTCCCAAAGAAATGTGTTACTCAGAGGAAGTCTTTGCTCTGGAAAAAGGGAAGGTAAATTAAAAAAACAAAAAAACAAAAACAACAGAGAAGGAGAGAACAGGTTTTTTTTGTGGGTGGAGCAGAAGTAATTTCTGTCACAACTCTTTCTTGTTATTTATTTCATCTGTTCAGACTTACCCAGTCAGGCGTTGGGGTCC